CCTCTAATATATATATATACATAATCTTTATTGTTGAAAGTATTATATACATCCCCTCTTTTCCCCCATTGACCCTCTCCAGCCTGCCCCTGTCCCCCCACCCCAGTGGGCTTTTGTTAGCTTTTATATCAGCTTTGTAAAAATTAAAAAAATTCTGCTTTCACTCAGTGGAAGCAGCTTAAAGAGCCCTGCCTGGTTGGAAGTTTTCTGGCTGAATATCCATCCCCACGTGACACCTGTTTCCTTGGGTAGGAATTTAGCTCAGTCCAAAACCTGTATAGTTGATGCAGCAGTTCCTAGATTGCTCTCTACCAAGTCCAGCACATTCATTAAAATGGTTACATCTGTTAATTGTTGAGCAACTGTGGGAAACCAAATACAGGAGAGCCACTGACATCACCAAACTGTCATTACATTCGAGATAAAAGATTTATTCATGTAAACAAAAATAATCACAACAAAATGTACACTAATTTGAAAAACAAACCATTATAGTGACTAAATTTTATGTTCTCTTATAATTGTGTAAAAGTATTTTGTTTACTTCTGCAAAAAGCATGTTGTTTGCTTCTACACAAATTTCTACTTGTAAAAGAATAGCAAACATTAAAATACAGTGTTAATTTGCATTACTTATAAGGAGAGAACATCGAAGCTTTTAGTTTACAAAGTTGTTACATGGAGCCACACACTAAACTATTGATTAAAAACATTATCTATTCCAGATTCACGTCATATACATTCGCCACCCAAGCTGAGAAATAAGCATTTCATATGGTCTCCCACCTCGTTCTAATGTATTTTTCCCTTTTAACTAAAAGCAGAAAATTGTATTTTTCTTTTTTTAATTGACCTCAGATGATGCACTTTCTAATTCATGAGAAATGCGAAATTTGAGATGTTTATCTTGTTCCTCACTCTGAGGGTCTGAGGCCAGTTTGTCTTCATGGCTCTGCAATTCTCGGCTGTGGAACTCCTGGCTAACTCTGGAATTTTCCTGACTATCAATCCCAACAGAATGCTCATTGCTTGCATCCATCGCCTTCAGCTTATATCCTTTGGCAAGCTCGTGGCTGTGGGTTTCCACACTGTGGTCATCCAGCTGACTTGTTTCCTGGCTGTCCTTCCCACGGCTGTCCCAATCAGAAGCCACGGGCAGGCCCTGGGCTACAAGGACGGCCCTGTGTGCATCGTCCATCTCATCGCTTTCCATGTGTGACGTAAGGTCTTCCTCTGTAGCATCAGGATACTGAATCACAGCACAAATGGAAGAAGAATTAAATGACAGCCAGGAATAGGCACATTGCAATTCTTTCCTGCTCTCAAACTTTTAGGCCAATGAAAACTGTCTAAATTTGGCTGAAGTAAAAAATAAGACAAGCATGTTACTTTATATTTCACCAAGCCCTTTCATGTGTCATCTCCTTTGAGGTAATAGTTACATCAATGATATATGTGATGAAACCTATGAGGTAAGTCTCCTTATCTCTTTTTTACATAAAGAAACGTGAATTAAAAGTTAAAAAATAAAGCAAATGATGGCTACGTGTCAAATCCAGATCTTTTGACTATACATTCAGTGTAATTTGCAACTCTCCCATTCCTCTTAGGTATTTAACTTCAAAATGTGACCATTGTATTGTACAAGTAATTGCTGTTTTTCAGTCTCCTTTTAATCTAAAAAAAGTGAATAGGATAAATGCTTTACCACCAGAATTTGGGGAAAAATAGCGTTATGATTGAGAGACAAAATTAGAGAGGAATTATGTGGACTTAAATATATAGGTATATTAAAAAAACACCAAGGGAAAAAGTCTCATTCAATGGTCATAAAGTAATAATAATGCTGAATGAATGAATGCATGAATGAATAAGGGAGTGTGCAGATTCTGGTTCATAGACTTGGGCTCTCACCATGACCATCAGATATGTCTGTTAAAGGGCTTACCTGGACGACAGACCTGTGTAACTTCTTAGATTTTAACCTCAGTCCATGAGCCACACTATCGCCTCGGCCATCATTTGTGTCTATTGTGGGGACAGCTGGAGTGGCAAAAGGGGTTCCAGGAAAGTCAGTGGGAAAGTCAGTGGGAAAGTCAGTGACCAGTTCATCAGATTCATCAGAATGGTGAGACTCGTCAGAATTGTCAGGGTCATCAGTATGATCATCGTCATCTGAGTCATTTGAGTCGATGGAGTCTTGGCTGTCCACATGATCTTCGTCGTCATCATCATCCACATCATCTGTGTGGTCCTGGCTTTCATTGGACTGACTTGGGAGAGTCTGAAAATCAAGATGGCCAGAAAAATTAGTGTAAGCATTTTAACTTTCCTTAGCCTTTAGAGTGCATTAGTCTTTTACTATCTTTCTTTTATTTAGTTTCAGGATCTCTGCATCCACAACAATGCACTCAATGGTTTTTAAGAGCTAAATTGAGCACCTTTCAATTTCTTTTTTTAACATAAGGATAAATTGAATAATAATTAAAGTATTTTTCTTGATTTCCCATAAAAATTATTTTTCTAGATATTTTCAAGTAAGATACATGAGTAGAATATTTATATTGATAACGTTTTTTTTTCTGGTTCACATTAGACATTATTTAATAGGCCAAATTCAATAATGCAATAAATACAGATACATGATTGTGAGATTATTTTTTTGTATTAGAAATGAGAATTCTCAGGAGATCAGAGCATCATCATGCCGCAAAACCTAAACTACCTCCCTATTAACATGGATCATCAAAAAGTGACTGTTATGCCTGTGTATAAAGTACAGCTCAGAAATGTCCATTGAATTAGTTAATGTCTATTAAACTTCCAATTAGCAAATATACTGGGTCATTTATCTAACTTTTCTTGCTAGCAAATCTTAGCATGTTCAAACAGAATTTTAAGGAAAACAAACTTTTTTCTTTGCTTAGCAAATATATTGCTAGTCCTAATAAAAAGTCCTCATTAACAGCCCTATAATAGTTATCAAATAAACCATTATGTTAGGAACAGAAATGTCCCTAGAGGCAAAATCTTGGGCTTATAGTTATTTATTAGATGTGTGTCAGATATTAGATAAGACATCTGTGAAATACCTTCAATCAATTGCAAGAGGTTTAGCATTTCAAATAAGAGACATTAGTAAACATTTCCTGCCACACTAAACTTATCAGAAAAAATCTGGTGTTTCTGGCATTTAGTAAATACATATTTTTTTCCGGTGGTAGACTGGCAGTTTACTGGAAAATTTGTTCATGGAATTTTTGTTAGAATCAAACTCAGGAAATGTCATTAGGAGAAAGAGTGGCTTCTTTGTCTCTCCATGGCATGGTGGGCTTCTGATTCAAAGTGGGAACTCACCTCTTGTTTGAAGTCATCAGTTTCTTCAGAGGATACCGTATTCTGGAGAAGGAAAGGCATATCAGTATATAGCACACATGCTTAACCTTTTTATTCTAGAGTTAGCTTTTTCCATCCAAAGCAGGTCTTATTTTTCAGCCTTGTTGGTCAATGACTTAAAGGGGAAAGGGTCAACATGTCAGATTAGTTGATGTCCTAGAATTGCATTTGCTAACAGGCATGAGGATCTACTTAACCAGCCCACTGGTCTGGTTGGTGGCTATATACTTTTTGTTGTTGTTCTTTAATTGCAAGACACATCACTTTTGAAAATAATTAAAATTAAAAATACCTGTGGTGCTAGGAGACTCTGCTTCTGAGATGGATCAGGCTTTAGCCATGTGGCTACAGCATCTGGGTGTTTGTTGTAAAGCTACCAAAAAAAGTTGCATATTTGTCATTATTTTTAAAAAAAGAAACATAAAGATCTCTAAGTGATATGCTTAAAAAGCAACTATACTTCACCAATACTGATGGATAAGAGTAATATGCATATATATATTCAACCAGAGCCTTAGACACCCCTTTTCTAACCTATTTTTTCTTTCAGATTCACTTAATAAACTCTTACATAGCACTTACTGTGGGTCAGGCACCCTTCAAAGTGTTTACATGTTTTCATTCATTTAATCCTCTCAACCCCCTATGAGATTGATATCATTCTTGCTTCCATGTTGCAGATCAGGAGAAATTAAGCCACAGTGAAGTTAAGAGTCAAGATTCAAATCCATCACACTGGCTCTCCACACTGAACTTAACACTGTGCTTCCCTGTTCTACGTTTTCTAGCTGAAATTTCCTCTCAGATAAAGTACAACTAAAACAGAGGTGCCCTTAATGAGCACTGGTCTTCAAGGTCTCCTCTACTATGTAGCTATTTAAATTTAATTAAAATTAAATGAAAATTTCAGTTTCTCAGTTGCACTAGCTACAGTTTAAATGTTTAATAGCCCCATGAGTCTAGTGGCTATCTTAGTGGAGGGTGAGGAAAAAAAACATTAACATCATCTCACTAAAGTTCTATTGCTCTAGGGTGCCAAAGACATGAATGGAATGTCTCCGCTTTTTAGCCAAGTTATTTATTTGGACAATGATGATGATATGCTAGTACAGAGGAGTGGAAATTGCTCTGAATGCATGTCATCAGATGGGCTGTATTACCCGTGGAAGTCAATGAGAACGAGAACCCTGAGGGTTCCATAGAGTTCTTTCTGCAGCCACCAAGGTGGTTGGGGGTTTGGGGGGAGGAGAGAAGGGAGGAAACCAGTCATCACTTTGCACTTCTCCATGACTGGCTGTAGCCAGAGCAGCTTCAGGTTGGGCTTCTAGGAAAGTTTTGCTTTAAAAAGGTACGAAAAACTACTGGTCTAGATGAGTTCAAAGTTTCCCTCTTTCTTTAAGAAATGTATTTATGCAAGTATTATATAGAAACATGTTATACTATATATTTTACAAATATGTCTATTTCCTGATGATACATGTAATACAGGTTTAGGGAGAATGTATTTGTAGGTTAAATTTATAATATATAAAAGTAACATGAAGAAAATAAAGCTAAGCAAAATAGACTAAAATCCACCCAGTAGTTGTAACCCTCACAGATACCCAGTGTTCATCTTCACAGGTGTCTCCCTATAGACTCCATATTTCCTACTAGGTCTCATGTCTAGGACACTAGTAGGTTGAGCTCTTCACTCACCTCCCAAATACCATTTAATAACTTATACTGCCATGGCTTCATGTGTCATATATATATATTTTAAAAAGACATTATTTTTTTTGCTTCAATGTGTGACCTCTCTCTTCTCTGAAAATGTTAATTTTTCTGGCTTATTGTTGTAATTCAAACAATACTTGTGTTCTTAAATCACTTGGAAAACAGACACACCTACGCACACATACTTGCACACTCAACCACATGCAACAATACCTCTCTTAGTGTCTTCATTAAGCAATCTAATTACAGTGACTCCAGGAAACTCTATATTGGCCTTAATTCTCTTCGTCTGAATCAAACCCTGTGTCTTTTTGTCCAGGCTCCTCGGGACAATGCCCATTTGTTGTTTGCCTGGCACAGTTTCACCTATTGTGGAGGGGCAGGTACCTCTATGGCGCTAGTCAAATAATTATAATAAAGAGTTTGATTTGGTCTTATGCTTGGTTAGAGAACTGTGATCTAAAGTCAGCTGACAAGCCTAATGGATACAAATACCATAAATAGACTTTCTTTTTATAATGGGCTTCTTGGCAAATATCTTAGGACATACTGTGAATATTGCAGTTATGTAAACTGTCCAATACGTGAGGCCCATTTTAAATTACGCCTTCCACTAAGTAAAAAAAAAAAAAAAAAAAAGGGTGGGATTTTCTACTTCTAGAACAGTATGTTGACTTGTGGAAAAAAAAGTCATGCAACTTCAGAGAACTAATTTTACATAAGTAGTAATGGCATAGAACATTATTTTGGTATACAAAAAATCTAGTTCAGTGTGTGGAACATATATTTGTTAAAAATTATGCTGTGCTTGGCACTAGCCTAAGTTGACAGGCAGTCAATTACTTATAAATTAAAAGTCTTGACTCTGATAATAAGTAAAATTACAACAGATATGTTTGTAGTGCTTCTTGAAACCGCTGCATACATAATTTAAGTCTGTGCTAAATCTAAAAGATGCTTACCTGCTTTTCTTCAGAGCTGCCAGAATCAGCATGTTTAACCTTTGAAACAGAAAAGATGAAGAAAGATTACAACGTGAATGTGTGCCCAGCACAGGGGGGCATCCAATTAATTGATTTTGAGAAATTTTCCTTAAGATTCAGCTGTACTCACTGGAAGGGCAGAGGTGATGCCTAATAAGCAGAAGCAAATCACTGCAATTCTCATGGTGGTGATTTTTCCTGCAAAATATTTTGTAATGAATATTTGACCTCTTCACAGGTTAAACCAGTGATACCTTATTATTCTACCATATTACAAAATAATCACAAATAAATACATTTCCTGCAGAATATGTAGGAACTTTTTCTTTTTAATATTATGGTCCTTTTGAATTAATATTTGTAATGCTATCTCTGTTCTTCATCTTTCCCAATTGGGCAAGGGAGAGAAGAAGTTTACAAGTCTATATTTATTCAACTTTTAAATTTAGAGTTCCAGAGATCACACCATTAGTTCCTGACACTGCCAGCTGTCTAAACCTAAGCACAGACCAACAGTAAATTAATTAAAATAATAAGATAGTGTGGGACTTTTACTTTTCAGAGAAGAAAAACACAAAGAGTGATAAAACTGTGAAAGAAATGCGCTTTCTCCATTTTTCAGCATGCATTTCAAATGTGATTTTTAACTTAAATTATTAAAAAGATGCTACTCGGGTGAAATAAAGCTATTTCTAGAATTAGTTATTCTAGAAAATAAGTTAGTCTTGAAATTTGAACCAAAAAAGGAAACATTGAAAATAATCAACAGCTTTTTTAAATTTGCAGTAAGTCTACATAATGTCATACAAGTTTTTGGTGAAAATTTTAATAGGTAAATACAGAGAAGTAAAAAAAAAAATCAGAAACTTTCCCCCTTGAAAATAGTATAAATCAAATAATTAAAAACAGCATTATCATTAGCTTATATTAGCACTGAAGATCCTTTTCCTTTGAAATGCCTCCATAATCATCTATCCATTTCAAATGATATGGGCATAATCATCCCAAAGGGGCATAGAATTGTACCTTTTTCTTTTTTTCTAATTGGAAGAGATAGTATCATTTCTTTTGAGGACTGAATGGAAGGATTTTTAAGGTTTATATTGACTGGCTTTCAAAATAGCTGGTCTGCAGGAGATCTGCTATGTATCTAGCAGGCTTATTCAAAAGACTACAACAATTTAAAATATGATGAACAGCATTACAGTGACGCCCTTTGCCTTACAATTGACCTTCCCCATGAAGGGAACTGCATGTATAGGACAGCAGCAGCAGGAGAGCACACTGCAGGCTTACCTCGGTCTGCTGCTGGCTGAGAAGGCTGCCACGGGTCTGAGAGGAGAGTCCAGTCCCAGAGGGTGCTGCACTCCTCGATGTCTCCTCCTCTTGCTGCTGACAACCAGGACCTCCCAGTATTTAAATGCTGCTCAGACACCCTCCCTCCCCCCAACACAGGGAGGCGGAGAGATGTGTCATGAGGTTTTTTGCCACTGCCCAACCCACTTGCTCCCACACTTCCCCCTCTGGTTTTGTGGTACACACACACACACACACACACACACACACACACCAGAGTTAAACCATTACTTCTCTACAATATCATTAGCTGGCATTTTCATTTATGGGAATGACATTCAGCATCATGAAAGGGCACCTTGGAGCCCCATTAAAAAGGGTGGGGGAAATGACTAGTTCTTACAAAGATTTTATAATTTCTGAATTAGGAGAAAAATCGTTAATATAAAATCAGTCCTAAGTAAAATTAAATAGAATGGGTTTTATTTCTTTCCGTTTGAAAAAGAGATTAAGGTAATACGTGCAACTAGATGTGCCCCACAATTGTATTTATTTAAGAGCTGCAAGGCTGTTGTCCAGGCGTACAAAGGTCTCAGGTCTCCTGCCTCCATCCTTTAGTCTCATGCTTGGTTTTGTGATGTCAAGGCTGAAACAGTTTGTCATTGAGACAAATGGCATTAGAAACATGAAAGTCCATGTTCAGGCCCACGAAGGTGGACTTACAATGACCTTACAAGGACGTGGATTTTTGTTACACTGTTCGAACTGATTAAAGGCGATTCATCTGATAACTTGTTACATACAGGAGAGGCAATTTCCTTTAGATGCTACAGAAGTGAAGTGGTTTCTGAGAGCAGGGCGATTGCTTGAGAGTGCTGCTTCGGGAGCCAGAGAGCAGGTTTGAATCCCACTCCGCCACTCAATAGCTGTGTGACCTCAGTCGACCTACACCTGCTTCCTCATCCGTCACAGGCACATACTGTTACCTAGCTCATAGGGGTTTTGAGAGGCTAAATAAATTAGTCTGTGGAAAACAAAAACACTTGGCACATATTATATGCATATTTTAGACACTGTGTGTGTAAACGGTGACTGAAATGTAGGAGCAGCAAGTCCTTGTGATTTGCAGTGTCTTTAGATGAAATGGGCTATTAGAATAAGACTAGATGTAAGATCTTTAAGTTGCGTACATCACTAGTTTAATTTACACACCTTTAAAGGAATGGGTTAGATTTCTGAATCATCTCTTTCTAGTTTTTCTCTCAGGATATATGAAGTTGGTGACTTAATGAGAAGATGTAAAAAATACTTATTTAACACTTTTCTGGGTAATTAAAGGTATTTGAGTGAAAGAAAAATCATAGATGGAGTCTGAATATTGGAACAGAAATGAGCAGAGCTCTGAGTCCATTCAAAATATTTAATATTGTCTTTAAATCATGTACTTAATCTCTCCATTTAGCTTTCTCTGCTGTGAAATGGAAATTGCACTGTTCATTTATCTCCTGTCATCATTGTAAGATTCGTGTGAAGTGAGATTAAAAATAAACAACCCCTTTTAATATTAGTTATATCTAAGGTGTCAGCTTCTCTTTACTGAATATTGCTTTTAATATAAATACGGATTAAATAATTTCTTGCAGTGTTAGCAGTATAACTAATCCATAGGTTGTATGAACATTTGGTGGGTGTTGGGGAAATATGTCTCTTTTAAATGGGATGCATTTCATATGAATCAATATTATTGATTTGTGGGTTCTAAGCACACATTTTAATAATTCAGATGGCAGCTATCTCTACAAAATATGACTTGCAGGTTAAAAAATTGCAAAACAGGCTTCTTATTTCTGCTTTTAAAAATGGTTGTTGTTTTTTCTCTAGAGGCACATTACCCACATAAGTTAGTCATATTGTCAATTTAGTAGGGGGAAGTTCACCAGTTCTAAAAACAAGGAGATTTCCAAAGGATTCGCGATGGTTTACCCTGTGCCCACGGAAATGAGTTAATATGAACTTAGAGAGTTATAGGAATAGATGTCGCTGGAGCCCAGCCATCCTGAGATGAGCAATATGACCCAGCCTGGGCCTCTTCCGGTCGGGTATGTCTCCAAAGTGCCACACGATGGCAGCATTTCTGAAAAGGACTTCAGACCCCAATCTGGCTCTGCTGGTTTTCTTATGCTGGCAGGATGGAACATTCATGTGTTTAATGACAGACTCTGAAACAGCTGAGGGGCCTTTCACTTCTTGGAATTTCAGGTGAGTAAATATTTCCCAACAGTGACCCGCTACACAGAAACAGGGAACGCAGAGGCCGAGAGAACCCAAGCATTCTTGTTCTGCTCTGTGGCTGCCTTCATTCCTCTGCGGTTGCCTTCATTCCGCAACCCCAGGTGGACGCTATTGTCTCCCTCCCCACTTCCCACACTCACTGAAAAGGTTACAGATCCCGAGGTGTTCTTCAGAGTAAAGAAATGTGAATTCATAGTTAAAGAATGTGTCTGGCAAGCTTCAGAGATGAGAAGATAAAGCGATTTACAATAGAGGCAGTTCTGTAAAGTATGAAATGGAGAGTGTGTCATTCTGGCTTTAGAAGAGACTCATGCTTCATAGGTTTTGTAATCAAACATGCTGCGGACACATTTTTTTCTGAGTAAGATTTTCCAACTGTCACAGTTAACATTTTAAATGATTTGAACCAGAGAGGCTTGATCTGTAACATTTCCACACCATTTCCTTTCTTGATTAGTCTAACACTTGATTGTTAAAATCTAAAGGCCGAAATGATCAAATTTCCTGCAGATCTTGTATGTGGTAAGAAAAAAGTAGTTATAAACTGGAATAAAGAGGGGCTTGTGATAATAAAATATAGACACGATAAGAAGTCTTATGAAAACATTTAAGGACATTACATTTTTTCTTGAATTGCATGAAAATTCCCATATCGTAGGAAAATTTAAGTGCCCAGATGCCACTGTTTTAGTGGGCTTTCTTACTGACTTCTAGTTTATTTGGATATTTACAATTACATTTTACTTGGCGACGTATAATCAACTATTTCAAACCTTTCATCTCTGTAAGTAATTATTTCTTCCCCCTGAATTAAAGTTCAGGTAAAGATGATCTGATACCATCACCAACCTATCACAGACAGGTTGGGAATTAAAGCTAATTAGCAGCCTCCCTCAGTATTCATCATTTCCAGCTTAGGGAAGAGGGGCATTATTTATTAGAGGGAGGGAAGGAAACAAGGGTGGAAGATAGGGCGCTATTTTTAAGTTTAGACATGAAGTTAGAACATTTAAAAAATATAAAAAAGAACCATCATAAAACTTTTTATTCCATTGCTCAATAACTTTGTCAACAAAATTCAGCTCCTGAAAAAGTGGTCTTACTTTCAGTAAACATTAGTTTCACTTAAAACAAACAAAAAACATTTTTGTTTTAGACCCATAGAATTGTTATAGATTAAATAAGTATTTAATAAATTGTTTTTTAAAAATATTTTTATTGATTTCAGAGAGGAAGGGAGAGAGAGATAGAAACATTAATGATGAGAGAGAATCGTTGATCAGCTGCCTCCTGCACGACCCTTACTGAGGATTGAGCCCACAACCTGGGCATGTGCCCTGACTCATAATCAAACCGTGACCTCCTGGTTTACAGGTCACTGCTTAACCACCGAGCCATGCCAGCCGGGAAAATTCTTAATGATTAACCATGTAATTCTCCATCTATAACAATGAATTCTGAGCACATAGTTCTTGCTTATCAATATAATGCATGGGCACCATGCTTGAATCCCTATATCACATGTAGATACCTAATATTTGCCAGTACTCAAGAACATAGCAGTGTTTCTTTATTAAAGTACTAGAGGCCCGGTGCACAAAAATTTGTGCACTCGGGGGGAAGTGGGGAGTCCCTCAGCCTGGCCTGTGCCCTCTCTCAGTCTGGGACCCCTCGGGAGATAACGACCTGCTGGCTTAGGCCTGCTCCCGGGTAGCAGAGGGCAGGCCCAATCCCTAGGTGCAGCCCCTGCTCGGGCTTAGAGCAGGGCCGATTGGGGAGTTGGGGCACCGCCCCCTGTCATGCACAGAGCAGGGCGGATTGGGAGGTTGTGATGCCACCCTCAGTC